GGCTTGTCATAAGAGACCATCCAGACAGAAACCCAATATTTTTACTGTTGCCTTTGTTACATTTGTGTTGTATTTGTGCTGATAAATAAATAAAGAGACTAATCTCCCTTTATTTATTTATCAGCACAAATACAACACACACACACACACACACACACACACACACAAATAAAATAAAGTAAAAAATAAATTCTTAAGCTGTTTCTTAATACAGGAAGATATCAGTGAAGAAGAGCCCAAATTGAAGTATGAAAGGCTTTCTAATGGAGTTGGAGAAATCATTCAAAAGGATGTAGCCAGTTGCATGACAATCCATGAGAAAGTAAGTTATTAATTTTGAAAAATATGTGCAAATGGGTTATCTTCCTTATATTTCTATTTGTTATGTTGAGATAAGCAATAAGAATTTGTGAGCATGTAAATAATGCCAGTAGTTGCAAATGAAGAATGAAACCTGCAAGCTTGTTTTCTAGGGTTCTGACAGGAAATGGCAAGGTGAGCATAAGGGTGTTATACATGCTCAGAAACAATTTGTTCTGGGAAAGTAGTTTTTTTCTTTCATATTTAAATAGTCTTTTGGCATTATTCATTGCCACTAAATTGAGGTGGCTCAATGGCTAAGACGTTAAGTTTGTCGATCAGAAAAGTCAGCACTTCAGCGGTTTGAATCCCTAGCACAGCAGAATAGAGTGATCTCCCATTACTTTCCCCAGCTTCTGCCAAACTAGCAATTTGAAAGCATGTAAAAATGCAAGTGTAAAATAGGAACCACCTTTGGTAGGAAAGTAACAGTGTTCCATGCGCCTTTGGCATTTAGTCATGCTGGCCACATGACCATGGAGACATCTTCAGACAGTGCTGGCTCTTCGGCTTTGAAATGGAGATGAGCAGCACCCCCAAGAGTCGGGAACGACTAGCACATATGTGTGAAGGGAACCTTTAGCTTATGTTGAGGAAATAGAACACAAGTATAGGGTTGGGATTTAAATTTTACTGAGTAATTTCCCATATCAATTTACTAGTCAATAGTTTTGCTGATATTTTTATCAGAGTTTAGATTTGCATTAGACCCTAAATGCAGTGAGTTATTTTCATTAATCTAAGGTTCCATTGCTTGAACAAAGTATTTTAAGTTTTCTCTCATTCATTTTAACTGAAGTTTCATGAATGTTACATAAGTTATATTATGATGTTGTAATTATAATTATATTATAATTATTCACGTAGGTAGTACATAATCAAAATATAATTAATAGATGGCAATAGTGGGGATTTTTTTCAACTCTTCATGGAATGAAAAGTTACCCTGGAAGTAATTTTTACATGTAGATCTCTCAAGCAATTTATGTGAAAGTTTCTAAATCAAATAATGATTGAGCCAGAGTGCTACATATTTCTATATTTTCTATTTTTTCAAATATTCACACTATCAAGGTTTAGTTACAGGTGTTCCAAAGAATTATCCTAGAGGCTCTAAAAATGTGGACTGTTCAAGCTTTGTGCCACTCTTTGGGCCCATTCATCTGTCTCCTTGTATTCATTCACAGGATCATGCTGCTGAGATTTAATTGCAAAATACAATTATTGGTGATGCAGTGTTTTTTTAAAAAATTCAAGTTGTAAAATGAATGTTGTGAGAGAAATAGCATTAAAATGTTTTGTAAAAAAGACAAACAAAATCCTTAAATAAAATCATATACAAGTTATGTGCCATGAAAGCCCTCCCTCTGCCATCATTAACCAGTTTTAACAAGGTTAATTGCCTTCTTTGAATTTATTTTGTTTTTTGAATTTGCTATATTTTTATAATCTTGTAATTTTAATTAATCCCAGAGTAACATTTTAATTCTAATTTATGTACTGTTTTATGTTTATATTATACTGTACACCACCCAGAGCCCCTTCTTGAAGGAGATTGGCAGTCTAGAAGTACAATATATATTATTATTCAATAATATTGAATACTTATTCAATTGTTATATTACATATATATTATTAAATATCCATGGATGCTTATCAAGTATACATTTTTGTATTGTACTTCAACAAAGGAAATGCTCTTTTCTACTTCCCTTTAGCCTGCACCTCAGAGGTGGATTGCCAATTTCTTTACTACTAGTTCAGGCATGCTCCTGAGTGTGGAGAAGTGTCTGGGTGAGTGGGCGGAGCCTCCTGCTACTGCTACTACTCATTTGGCTGATCCGGCAGCAACCTATCTCTAATGCACCTGCTGATTATGATGGGAGATGCTCACTTATTGTACTTGTTAATTATCATTAGTTCTGTAAAGGTTTCTTGGGCTTTGATGTTTAGTCTGGAGGTATGGTATTTACCTTTTTAAAGAAGAAAATGTCTTAAACAATATAAAGTGTTTCTATATTTGGAAGTCTCCTAATTATAGTGTCACAAGCAACAACATAATAATAAAGTAGTTTCTAGTAACAGCACTTTTATAAACTGGACTATTTATGAGATGATCAATAATGTTAGAAGCTGATACAAAGTCTTTTAGGAATTGTCTTGCACAATGCTGAGGCTAAAAATTGAAGATGGAATGTGTATCTTTCCTACATCTTGCTCTATGAGTAAATAAAAAGAAATAACACTGTAGCATCTACAATAGATGTGTTTTACGATTAGAACATTTTACATTGTTCAAATTATAAAATCTGGTTTACATTTAGACTATTTTTCCTCCATAAGTGTCCCCCCACCCCCACCCAATGATAAAACATATTTTCACTGGACCTGCTGTCTGCATTGGATGACTATTCGTCCTGGCACCCAGTGCATTCAAGTAGGCCTGTGCAGTGGAATAGTCATACCTAGTTATGTCTGCACACCTGATGTTTTATTAACTACATTGATTTTTTTTTAACCCAAGAGACTTTTTTATTTCTGTAAAAAGGCAACCTTGCAGGAGTGAAAGGCATTGCAGGGGATGAATTTCTAATGAATCCCTTCTCTCTTTGCCTCTCTTTCTCCCTTTTTTGACTTCTCTTTACTGTGGCTTCATATTTTAAGTGCCTGAACTGAAATTTCATTTTAAGCAATTCCATTTTGATAAATCCTTTTAAACCTTGACTTTCTGTAAGGTTATTAAAAAAAAAGATTGTGCTGCTTGACTGACATGCTTAGTAGTGCCTGTAAATTTGAGCATTTCATTATAGGCTGCAATGAAGCGTGTTCACATGCAATGAAATACAGAGAATTTAGCAGTCTGACCACTTCAGTAATGCCAAAGGAAGGAAAGGCACTCTGTTTTATACCAAGCAGTAACAAACTTTTTGATATATTTTAAATCTGTTTTTTAATCTTTGTGATAAAATAACACCTAAATCTCTTCTGCATTATTTTGAGTATTCTATGTATGCAGCACATATCTTTTATGCACCTTTCAGTCAGATTTGTCTTTTCCCCTAGGCTGGCTCCTAACTATCTGCGTCTAAAAGTTGTGCCTGTAAAACCAGAGCAGACTTTGTAATTTGCAATGCAAAACTCTCTCCTGTTGACTGTTCACTTTTGACTGGTTTGCTAAATGAGAGATCTGACATTTTCAAAAAAATAGGGCTTAGATAGTTTTCTAGACTTGTAAAAATAATATAGTTGCTTGTTGAGAACAGTAATTCACTTGGCTTCACTATATAAATAGAGTCATGGAAAGAAAAAGATCTTTTTTTAAAAAAAAATCTGGCCTTTATTACTTTATAAGTAACTTGAGGCAAACAAACATACTCTTCCTCCTATTTTCCTCAGAAAAACCCCATGAGGTGGGTTGGACTAAGAAAGATTGACTTGCCCAACACCACCCAACACCACAGTTTTATAATACATACAAACATAGTTTGGTAAAAAAAGCCAAAAATCTCATAATATCTGCAAGCAGAAATGTCACAAAATTGTAACTATTTTTACTATTTTGTTGTTGTTGTTGTGATTCTGCTGCTGCTGCTTTCACTTCTAATTCTTTACAGAAATGAAGTGTAGGGTGTACACTCCAATGTTGTCACAACTATTATGCGGTATTATCAGTCCATCTGGTTATATGAATATTCCTCTGAAAGTTAAAGATCAGATATAGCAAGGGCCAGAAGAACTGGTTTTTCTATTGCTGAAATAGCAATATTTCATTTTTGTCTAGGTTTTAAGAGCTCAAGAATGCATTAAGTGACAGTTTTACATTTTTACAATTTCACTCTCAAGTGTTTGCTTTATATTGACTCCTTGTTTAGATGCCATTTGTATTTTGCTGTTATACTCTTTGGATAGGTTTCAGGACTGTTCAGGAAATGATGTGATTCATGCTTGATATAGATTATCACAGTAATATTTAGCACAAGCAAATGGTATATTGTACGCTCCCTATTCTAATTTCTCTGGATAATGTATTTCTCCCATTTTTTCTATTTAGTTTTTGGCACTTGGAACACATTATGGCAAAGTTTATTTGTTAGATGTCCAGGGAAACATCACACAAAAGTTTGACATTGTAAGTACAAATTATTTACCATATGACTATTGCAACCTAAAATACTGTGTTCAAAATAATATAACATTTATACTTAATTTATTCTTCTGTGTACACTTCATACAGCAGTTTTTGTTGCCATGCCACTGAAACTCAGCATTATGATTAAGATAAGAATGAATGATTGAAGAATTGATAGATTGAAATGCAGTCCACATTAATGGCTCTAGGTAGTTTACAAGAAACCCAAACTTTTAGCTGAAACAGTTGAGTAAAAAGAGAAGATTTAAAGTCCAATAAAGAAGAGAGACTGATTCTACTTCAGTGACAATTTAGCATGTTACATATCAGAAAAATCATAATTTGCTGTTCATACTAGAGACTATTATTTCATAAAGACTGCATGGTTGGAGTCTCACTCCAAAATTTAAAAATGTCTGTACATGGGAAGGAGGTCTTATGAATACCTAAACCATACAAGACTTTATATACCAGAGTGGGCAGCTAAAATGAACTTAAATCCTTATAAAATAAACCAGACTAAGAAATAATCCCATATAAACCAGGACAACTTTTATTGTCATGGATATAGTAGCAGAATTTTGCTGAAGTCTGAATATGTTTCTTTCTCCCTCACCCTTTAATTCTATGTGAAATGAAGAATGTTTCTCTTGAGTTGTTTTCTTAAGTTATTTTCCTGGCCTAGGCTCAAGCTCTGCTTTTCTGACCATTGCCTTGATAGCATCATTTCCTATCTGTCAAGCCATTCCCTATGCCTTTTACAGAGACGAAAATAAATTGGTTGTCAACATAGCTACCATATTTTTTGGATTATAAAATGCACCGGAGTATAAGACTCACCAAGATTTTGTAGAGGTAAATTTAAAAAAGTTTTTGCCCTCCCCGGCCCCCAGGAGCACTCTGCAGGCATCCCAAACCCTCTGCACACCCCATTTTATGTGAAAAACAGGGCATGCAGAGAGTTTGGGAGTCCTGCAAAGTGCTCCTGGAAGCTGGGGAGGGCAAATCCACCCATTTTTTTGTGANTTTTGAATTTTACTGTTACTATCTTCCTTCCATTGTGCAAACCGCCCAGTCACATGGCCACGCCCACCAAGCCATGCCCACAGAACTGGTAGTAAAAAAAATTGAATTCCACCACTGGGTGGGGGGCACTAAGGATCAGTTTGTAGCACCAAAGGGGCGGTGGACTGAAAAGATTTGGGAACTGATGTATAGCTTTTCTAGAAAACTAGGGGACTTGAAGGAATAATTCTGGAATTGACTAAATTTTATTAATAATTGACTTTTTTGTAGTTTTTAAATATTGGGATACTGGAATATTAGAGATATATTGAGTAATTTTTAATATATTAATTTGGTACAAAATGGCTCAGCAGGAGACAATGAAATTATATGAAGAAATGTTAGTGATGGTTAAAAGTTTTTATGAAAATGTGACAAAGAATCATAAGGAGATGATGGGATTGTTCAAAGATAAAGATGTGAGTGTAGAAGACCCTCAACAAATGGTGGGAAAAGATTAACATAATATTCAGAGATAGATGAGAAATTAGGAGTTGTAGATGAGACAAATCAGAACAAATTACAAGAAAACAAACAATTGAAAAGACAGTAGCAATGAAGACTAAGAATCAAATATATAATTCCTTAAGAGCTACAATAGAACAGAGGGAAAAAAGGAAGGCTCCCCCAAAATAATGAAAGGGTTATGGATGGCCATCCAAATGATGGGAACATTCAGACTGTGTAAAAATGTTAGAAAGAAATATAGGATCCGAAGAGAGAAATATAAAAGAATCACCAAAAAGTCAATAAATGATGAAATTCTAAAAAGGCTGCAACATGACGGATAGATATATAATATTTTATAATATTGTATTATAATAATGTATTAAAAATAAATAGAAAGTATAAATTGGGAAAATAGTAGCATATACAGATATATAATAGAATTTATTATAACCACAAATATACTAAGGTTAGAAGGTGGAAGACTATGATTAGCTATATTAAAATGCATTATTATGATTAACAGTGTGCAAAAAATATACTGGAATTTATATCTTTTAAGGACTACAAATTTAGGGGACTTAGAGATATACTCTCGGGAGTTTAACTTTGATTAACAATTGGTTTTATAGGTGTTTATAGAAAGCTGAGATATTAGAAATATTGTGGAAATCTGAGTAATATTTAAAATATTAGTGATTTAACAGGGGTCAACAAATACATTGTATGAAGAAATGTAATTGAGGTTTAAATATATTTTTGGAAAAATGATAAAGAATCATAAACAGAAAATAGTACTGTTTAAAGATAAAGAGGTGAATATGGAAGAACCCCAACAAGTGGATGGGGGAAAGTACAAATTGGGAATAGTAATTATACACATACATAAAATAATATATTATAATTATAATGAACATATTAAGGTTAGAAGTTGGAAGATAAAAAATATGTATATGTAATTGTATTATTATTCTTAGCACTGTGTAAAAAATGTATTGACCCAGTCATTACAAAATATGTTGGTTGTTAAAGAAAAAAACTACAAATAAAACATACACAAAAAGAAAAAGAAAAACCAACTGATGTCTTAATAATTAAAAGGATATATAACAAACCAAAATAACAAACCAGTGACCTAGATAATTTTGATATATTGGATTTACAAAAGAGGCTTATTAAAGATTTGAAGAATTTTCTCAGAAGGGACCAAGAAAAAAAAAGAAATCATGTTCTAGGAAATTATTAACCTCTAGATCCATATTTATAAAAATGGAAGGAAAGAATATGAAGTTGGTTTACTTGATCAAAGTTAAAATATACATTGTTATCTCTAGTAATCTTTAATGAATCTTTGTTGACATCAGAACCGAAATGATGAGGTTTTAAAGATTTGTTTATAGATTAAGAGATGGGATATGGGGAAAATGATCATTTGTTTTTCTTAACAGGAGATGAAAAGTTACTAAAATTGTTTAAGCTTGTGATAAAAGGGGAAGTCACTTATTTATGTATTTCTTTTCATTTTCTTTATGATAGTCATATTTTTTCTTTTCCTATATTTTTCTTTATATTGTTTTGCAATTTGAGTTTCATTATTGCAATTTTGATTTTTAATAAAAGTTAATATAGAAAAAGAATTTAAATTCAAGTTTTCGTGCTCTTGCCTCTGAATTATATTTTGTATTTGTATTTATTAGGACTTATAGGCCGCCCTTTTCCCTGAGGGGACTCAGGGCGGCTTACAATCATTAGGGAGGGGGTGCAATTCAAAAATAAACAATATGTGAACAAAGTANTACAGGCCTCCCAAATCTTCTGCATGCCTCATTTTTTTTCAAAAAACAGGTCGCGCAGAGAGTTTCGAAGGATTTGGGGACTTGGAAGAGCAAAAGCACCCATTTTTTTGTGAAAAACAGGCCTGTTTTCACTTGTTTTTGCTCTCCCCAGTCCCCAGGAACACTTTGCAGGCCTCTCAAACTCTCTGCATGTCCGTTTTTGTGAAAAATGGGATGTGCAGGGTGGTGTTTTGGGAGACCAAAAATGCTGTATTCAGTGTATAAAACCCAGATTTTCATCCTCTTTTTTTGAGGGAAAGGGCACGTTTTATACTCAAAAAAATATGGTACTTAAACCAAAAGTGGGCTTCAGCCGGTTTGGACTAGTTCGGACGAACTGGTTGTTAAAATACTGCCCAGTTCAGTGAACTGTCTAATCCCACTACTGGTTTGATTGCTTGCTTTTTGGGCCGTTTTTGGCCGTTTCTTGGACCATTTTTCAGCCATTTTCATGCCATTTTTGGGGCTGCTTGGAATCCAAAATGACCAAAAAATGTGCCAGAAAATGTCCAAAAAACAGGCTGGAAAATGACCAAAAATGGCCCAGAAGATGGCCCCAAAACAGCTCCCCCCAAAAAAATTGATTTCAAATCTTCATTTACCTCTCTTGAAGCTGTACAACAGTCTGGATTTGAAAGGGGAAGAGGAATTCGTAGCTTCTGTGGGCTCACACTTCAGGCCTCTCAATACCTCACATCCATTGTGCTTTTTCCTGCCTCGCTGCACAAATCTTTTAAACATTTGCTGGCAAACACAAAGTGAGTCTTCACCCCAAAACATATTCCCCCTTCTGAATTTGGATGATTACGCATATGAAATAGTATATTATATAGTATAGTATATACTATATGAAATAGTATAAGCATAGTAACACCTGGACTATAGCAAAAAAAATGTTTTGTGGAAAAAAAAGTTCCTATACCACATATATAGATTATGTTGAATAAATGTAATGCCTTTGGGTTGATTTAAAGCCAACATATGAAAATAAGGGGAACAAAAAATTTCATCAAAATTTGAATTGCCATAATGTTGTCTTCCTAAAGCCCCTTGGTTCCTTCTTTGCTCCAATTACAATTTTAGTACTAATAAACTTTATGTCCAGTTTTAGAACCAATTCTGAGAAAATAAACTTGAAAGAGGGTCAAAAATCCTTCCACCCAACTTGGACCTTTTCCTTACACCAGTGTACATCTCTTTGCAAAACAAGTTGTGCTTTAAAACACACATCTGTCTCTAGCACATTTATTTGGACAACAAGCAGACTCTTTGGAAGGAAATCAAGGAAAGGATGGAGGAAAACAAAGAGACCCGCCCAAAAAAAGTAATGGGGTGGGATAGGGAAGGAAGTATCAGTGTAAAAGTCCCTTTTTCCAGTTATAACAGTTCTAGGATAAATCACATCAATAATAATGTCTCCCCATGTATCTCTCTGCTCAGTTTTCCTCATTATCTGATTATTCCAGAATATAAATAAAGGCAGAGGAGGACAGTTTTATGATTGGGAGAACTTTGTATCTATTTTTAGGGTCCCATACTATAAATAAAGAGAATGGAGAACAATTCTTGTGATTGAGAGAACTTTGTGTCTATTTTTTGGGCTAGAATGATGATAGCTTAATGACAGAACATAGCTATTGCATATGCAAGCAAAGCAGAGCTGAGGAAAGCTTCTGTTGAGATCATTGTGAACTTCTCATAAATTATGGTCCATGAAGATGGGGAGATTAGTGATCCTTAGGTGCCTTTCTTTATTTTTATGCATAAAGCATATTTCTATTAGAATCTTCTTCATAGATATGCTGCTCAGGATAATCTGTAATTTTTTTTTTTAAAAGGAGACCAAAATACAGATCGCTAAAAAGGATCTTAATTTGCCCATTTTTGACAAGGTTTTTCAAACGTGCAATCCTAAAATGTGTAGACATTGCCAGGACAGCATTCTGAAGTTGAAGTCTACACATCTTAAAAGTTGCCAAATTTGAAAAACACTGACCTATTAGAACAACTATCTATCTATCTTGGGGTAACTATCCTTGGCAACTTTAAGACTTGTGGGCTTCAAAACGGGCCAAAAAATGGGCAGGGGTGGATCCAGCCAGTGGTGGGATTAGCCTGAACTGGTCAGAACCTGCTGAATCCTACCTCTGCCTTTGAGACAAGTGGCCGGGAGACGGGGCTGGGTGTGATGAGCGATGTCAAGTTGGCCATGCCCACCCGGCCACATCTACCCAGCCAATCATTAGGGCAGAGAACCATTGTTAAATTATTTGAATCCCACCACTGATTTAAACACAGCACTCCTATGGAATCCCCAAAAGTTGCAATTAGCCATCCATGCTGATACATTTCTTTATTTTCTTTTAATGATTTTATATTAAATACAATTCTTAGTACTTAATAAACATCATGTTGTCTGAGTATATAATTTGGTTACAATCCAAATTACATTCTTAATCTGCACCCTTTTTCCAACCATTGGTAAAATAAATTCCATGTTTGATAATATTCTCCTACATCCTCTTTCTGTTTAATTTTCAATGTCCATGTATTCATTTCTGCACAATCTAGTATCTTCTTGACTATTTCTTCACGTCGTGATATATATTCATTTTTTAAATATTGTGCAAAAATAATCCTTGCTGCTGTTAAGACATGTGATATTAAATACATACTTTTCTTATCAAGTTTTTTAATTTTTTTTTTGCTTTGACACAAGTCCACCACAAATGATAAAATGTGCCCATTTTTGGGTTACATTTCCAACATTTATTAGACATATTTTTAAACATGTTAGCTAACATATTTTAGCTAATCTAGCATGTGGTAGATGCCATCTATTAAACATTTTATATAGATTTTCTTTATGAGAAATCTCCATTGTTATTTTATAATTCCTTTCCCATACGTTTTGCCATTTCTCTAGTTCTATATCATGGCCAATTTTTTTCCTAATTGTAGCAATCAAAATATGATTCAGACATGAAAAAGTACGGTTTCTATAAAGGACAAGTATCCTTTGATCACACACTGATGAACTTTGATGAAAAATTAATTAAGGTATATAACCTTACTGAATTTGAAAATGGAAAATGAACAAATAAAAGACATACTGATACATTTTAAGCCAGTTATAACTTTCAGATTTGCTTAAAAAACACCTAGTGAAGAATATATTATGAAAATGAAAGTTAAAATAATTAGTCCCTTTTAATAATTTAAACAATGCAGCCAAGATACAAAAAGAGGTAGATGCAAGCATTTTGTATTGACTCATCAGTATCTACATTGCAATAACACGGTTAAAATCAGCCTCAAATATAAGATCTAGCAAGAGCATTAATTAAGCCTATAAAGTATGCAGGAAAGCAACTAGTGGCAAGCCTTGCGCCCACAGAAGGTGTAGATTGACTTAAAGCCATTTCTGCATGCACAAGGGAGGCTGCTAACGGTTAATGGCAACCACTTCAGCAAACCGCAGGAAACAATTCCTATGGTGCAAGAAAATTTTAAACGCAGAGTTTGGATCCACTTGGTGGTCTGTAGATAGTAAGTGTCTCACAATGGCCGAAGAAGGCATTTTATGGCCATGATTTGCTGCTGTTGGAATACTCAACACTGTCTGGACCCATTTTGGATGCTCCTTTATTCTGAAAGCCAAACACCTATCAGTTCTGCAGCTCAGTGGTGGGATTCAAATTTTTTACTATCGGTTCTGCAGGCGTGGCTTGGTGGGCATGGCTTGGTGGTCATGTGACTCGATGGGCATGGCTTGGTGGTCGTGATTGGGTGGGCCAACTTGATGTCACTCACATCAAGGGGTGCCTTGCCTCGCCTCACAGGCCTTAACAAATTCCCTGTCTATTTATTTACTATTACTGAACATCCAAAATACGCTATTTAATTTTGTGTGTGTGTGTGTGTGTGTGTGTATGTATGTATGTATGTATGTATGTATGTATGTATGTATGTATGTATGTATATGCCATTTGTGTATATACATATCACATAGAATAGTGTGTATAGGCACACAAAAAGATACAATATCTACTATATACTGTATGTGTATGTACAGACACACACACATTCAACCTCGCTGCATTTGGAAAAACACACCCAGAGTCCATTTTCTGCCACACATTTAACTGTAACTTCTGTATATTAGAATATTACACACGCCTTCAGATTTTATTCCCTAGTCTGCATGATTGTTAGAGCCAGGAGATGTCATGGATTGAGTAAAATGTGGTGAAACTCACTTAACAATGCTCTTGCTTAGCAACCAAAATTTTTGGCTCAATTGTGATCATAAGTCAAGGACTATCTCCACTTTCCTCTGCCTGTCGGCCTTGTCCTAGTAAACTCCTTCCTCCTTCTGGCAATTTTCCTCTCTGTTAGAGGAACCAAAATAATCCAGATAATATAAGGTTTCCTTCTGGAGCGGAGGGTTGGACTAGATGACCTCTGAGATCCCTTTCAGCCCTAGATTGCTGTGCTGTTTCAAAGCATTTTCTTAAGCCATGTCTAGTGCCAGGGTTTGTGGTCCTTTCTTCCTCTCCCTTTTCTCCCTCCCTCCCTCCTTTCATGTATCCATCCATCCATCCATC